AAGATATTAAGAAAAAGATTAATTAAGAAGAAATATTTATATTAATTATATACTTATATATTTAGTTTTAAAAAAATTTATAAATAATTATAAGAAATTAAAATTATGCTAGCTGGAATTTGCCTGAAATAAACAACAGAAGTTATTTTTTAACATCTTTATAATATATACAATGCAAATAAATAGATTTTTCGACGATGATGATAATGCTTAAAACTGAATTATATTTTTTTGTAAAGAGTAGAATAAAAATAGAGAGTGGGAAAGGGAAAATGAATTTTTCTTATATTATTTACACACTAACAGCAAAAAGCTATTAAAGTAACTTGCCAATACCACAGCATCTCGTGCGGTATTGACATGATCCTCAATGGGATTTCAGGAGTTTTTGTCGGTTGATTTATCCTTTTCTAATCTAATGTAGAAGATTGTCTTAATACGGTTAAATGAGTAGGAATAAAAGATATCATGTATCATATGATTCAGTGACAATAGCTACTAAAACTGTAATATCGTCCATTTTGCCTCCTAAATGATATATTCCTTCTTGAGAGGCACGACATTGAAAAGGACTTCCATTGATATTGTTCAAATCCTCGCTAACACCTTTTGCTCGCCATGCAAGTGCATCACTAATAGTTTGCGGTTCAGCGCGCAATCCGTTTCGTGTAGCATGTGTGAGTTGTCTAACCTCTTCCAAGATATCATCATCAAATAAGTTGTCAAATAAGCCATCTGAGCCCATAACTATGATATCACCACGTTTAACCTTTACATTGATAGCTTGAGCATCTGTCGGCAAATCAAATAGTCCAGTGCCCAACTGATATGGATAATTGAATGAATGTTGTTGCTCCTCATTTCGAAATATAATATCATTGTGTCTAATGACGGCTATTCCACAATCTCCTAAATTCGCAATACGAAGTTCGTCACCTCGCAGTACTGCAACTAAAGCTGTAGATGATCCAATAATTCCCTTTAACAATAGAGAGTGATAAATGCATCATGAAAGTTTTCAATTGTAAAGTTGTACTTTAAACAAGAGTCAATGCTCACCTCCAATGCACAATCTCGGAGACTTTCATCATAACTTTTTTGGAGAATTTGTTTGGGATTAACATCAGCGTATCGATAAAATTTTTCGTTGTCAACATTATCGTATTTTTCCAATTCTTTGTACGCGTAATGCATTAATTTCCGCGAATATAGAGCGGAGTTGATGACTAAAAAACAATGCAGCAATAATATTTAATATAAGTATCGAGGTCCATTAGAAATTATTCTTTTCTTTACTTACCAACATGTTCCAAATGAGGAGGATGACGCCAGCCTCCAACACCGTCAGCAACTCCCAGGGAGTCATGTCTTCGGAAGAAACTATCTTCCCCACAATTAACACTGCAATAACTTCCGTCAGTTAAATTTGACACCAGTTTATCCTGATGTTTAGGGATTCCGGAAACCCCATGAGAAAACATCGTGGTTTTACGTGTTGTTGAGAATGGTTTATCGAAAAGGTCGAATATAGAGTGAGACGTGGTGGGATTTGGCTTAATCGAACAGGAAGTATCTAGAAACTTTTGAGGTTTAGAAGAATGAGGTTTCGCTGTTCTTTCAGTCCCTTGAAATTGCGCTGGAGTACAATTATGCAGTGAACGACGAATAATAGTATGAGTTTGAGAGTTTAGAAATTTTCGACTTAGTAAAGGAGGAGGAACTGATGCGTACATCAAAGAAGTATAAGAAGATTCTTGATATGAAGTCGAGAAATATGAATAAGACTGACTTGAAGCCAGAGGAGTGTAAGAAAATCTTGAATAATATGAACTGGTAATAAGACCATTATTATTATTATTATTATTATTATTAAGCAACGAAGCTTGGCGTGGCGTGCTTCTCTTATTGGAAAAGGTGTTTTGTCGTGCACCGCTCGGTATTACTGAGGCAGTGTACTTTAGTGCTGACTTTAATGGCTTTACAAAGCTTTTGGTGAGATATGCCATTATATCGATAATGTTTGAGTGCAAACGCTACAAGAGACGCGTTTTTCTGACGTCGACAGAGTGAATTTCGTTTTTATTAAGACAGGAGACGAATGTTAGTTAGCGCACGCGTTAAGCACAAGTGGTTTGATAAATTATTATTATTAACTGGTAATAATGATAAAAGTAGTAGTGGCAAGCAGTAAAACAAGGATACTTTTTAAATAAATGGGAAAAAACGGAGAAAACGAGAAGATAATGAAACCGACGCAGTATATAACGATAACTGATATTTCAATCTATTATTATTATTTGTTATCGGTGGGAATCAGAATAATTTTTATCGATTTCATCACACATCAGATAAATCAGATAATTTACAATATTTGAAAGCCTTTGATTGGAGCATTTGGCGTCTATGCATAATCATCTTCGATCATCTACGGGAAAATACCCGATATGATGTCTTAATTGATAAGTTTTTGCTGCGTTACTCTTTACCACATTTATTATGTAATGAACTTTATTTGTGTGTGTAACTATGTAAATAATAATATATACGCGTTTTATTTGAACATTCCAAACTTGAATTCAAATCATTTTGGATTTCATTTATTTTCATTTTACAAAATGGATTTTCCTTTTTCTGGTATCATTTTTATATTTTTCATTTTTTATAAAATCATGGAAATTTAAGTGACAAAAAACAGTATTGATTGAAAGGACTGCAAAATCGATACCCAATGAAGACACATTCACAAATGCCAAGAATTTATTTGAAGTAAAAAAACTTCATTTATCTCCAAAAGAATTTATACTACAACATCCACGAGGTATTTTTTTTCTCGATAAGTTTAAATTTATTCAATTATTTGAATTAAAAAAAATATTTAATTACTAGCTTATATTTTTACTTTTATTTAATAAAAATATTATATCCAAATTAATAAAGGTGCATACACATCTGCACGCACAGTCAACAAGAGATCAGTAATAGATCTCCACGGTCACATTGATCGTACCGCCAAATCTCTTCAACTAATGAAATTCACTTTGCCTAATAATAATAATAATAATAATAATAATAATAATAATAATAATAATAATAATAATAATAGTAATAATAGTAATAATAATAATAATAATAATAATAATAATAATAATAATAATAATAATAATAATAATAATAATAATAATAATAATAGTAGTAGTAGTAGTAGTAATAATAATAATAATAATAATAATAATAATAATAACAATAATAATAGTAATAATAAGAATGATAGTAATAATAAGAATGATGTGGAGCCATTACATATCACACAATCGTTGGCTGATTATCGCGATCCGGAAAAACTTCGAGAATTCTCGATACCGTTGTTGAGAGAGGGACTAAAAGAATTTTTTCAATTGAATCCTTCAATAGGAAATGATAGCAATAATAATAATCATAATGCTAATGCTATTGCTGCTGAAGATGATGATAATGAAGCAAGGATTACCCTACTTGCTTGTTATTCTTTTGAGGTAAGAAGGAATTAAATTTCTCAAGTGATAAAATTATTTGATTTTTATCTTAATAATGATAATAATAGTAATAATAATTATTATTATTATTATCATTATAATCATAATTATAATCATCATCATCAAGGAATCAAGGCCTCGTTTAATTGCTCATATATGTGGATTGGATTCATTTGGCTTAAAAAAATGTAAAGTAAGTGGTTGTGGCTCTTAATGAATGATCTTTGAAATGGCATGATTCTAATATTTTTGGAAATAAAAAAATAATCCAGGTGGAAATTCATGGTAAACCGAGAAAATTAGCAATGGTAAAAGATTCACAATGGGTTCGGTAAATCAGTTTTAAAACTTAAATTCACCGCCTATTGGATTTATTAGTATATGTTGTTAAATTAACAATATTGATGATTGCAAAGTGACCGGACAGTGATCGAGGAATCGTTGCCACTTGGATATCGCGAAGCCCTTTTATTCGATTCACAAACCCAAAATATTTACGAAGGTCTTAGTTCGAATTTTTTTGTTGTTCTACCGAATCCTGATGAACAACAACGTTCGATGTTGATTACCGCACCCTTGGAGCATGTGCTTGAAGGCACAACATTGAAGATTATTGTAAAGATCTGTGAACGCGATAAAATTGATTTTCGACACGAATTTCCAAATATTCGTGATATTCAAAAATGGCAAGGAGCGTTTATTACCAGTTGAGTAACGAGTTATGTAAATGGACCAGCATCTCTTAGTCTCGAGTATTAAATTTATTTGATATTTATAATTTAGATTCGCTTAGATTGGTACAGCCAATTGAATTGTTAAGATTTCGGGATAACGGGTAAAAAAAAAATTATAACGTGATCTTTTTAGCGCATCGATTTGACTTTTTATTGACGTTTATTATTATTTTCAACTAACAGACTAACAATAGAACTACCAAAAGAGAATCATCCTATAATAGAGCACATAAGTAGAGAAGTGAAGAAAGAAGCACTGAAAAGAGCTCATCAAATACTATAATTTATTCAAAAACGGTGACAATGTTCATGTGCGCATTTACCTTAAAATGTGATTCATGTATCTGTCATCGATTGTTCATACAGACATGCATACATATGTTGCACAAAAAAAGAACAAGAAAAAAAATGCATGAAGATCTCAAAAGGTTGGTCACACATTGGGGAGTTAAACAACACCACCAACCCATCATCGTTTTTTCAACAACTTCCAACGTCTGCATTAACAAGCAAGTAACAACAAAGCTTAATGTTAAAAATTTCCTGGTTTTAAACTTTTTTTTTTAAATACCTTATTTCAAAATAATAACGATATATAATCTTAGTGATAGTAAAATCCAATGCTTAAATTATTTCCCCAAAAATAGAGAAAGTATAATTATAATTGTCGTATTATAAGAAAGTAAGCTATTTTGTGCTACTAATAATTCCACATTAATTATCGCCCGCCTAACTTTCACACTTTTCAATACTAATATTACTATCACACACACAAACACGCCCACACTCGCTCACTCACTCCAGTATTACCACTTATATTAATATTAACCCTTAACCTGTTTATTTTTTTTCGCCCAACTCGATACTTATAATATAACAATTATAACAATTATTATAATAATAAATAATAAATAATACTAGCTGATTAGATATAACAGCGACAAAAACTCCGACGACCCGATTCTTTCATTTCATATTCGCCTATCTCATCAATCCCCTCTAAACAATAAACAAAAAAATAATTTATTATTTTTCCTTCTATTTGACGATTTGTGTGTGTTCTCTAGTTCACCACCCATCATTTTTTTTTTTCACGATTCAAAAAGAACGTTTATGTTTATCCCTTCTTATTTGGACCTGAATAACAAAACAACAAAGAAGTTGTTCAATCAATAAATCATACAACATATAACTCACCGCTTTCTTTGCTCAATCAAATATTTTTCGCAACTGTGGAGCTTACCAATTATTCATCACCAACACATCAAAGCAGCTCGAGCATAAAGTACCCAATCGATTCTACTACTGTGAAAGTTAACAGTAATAGTGTTACAATATAGTATAGCAGAACTATGACTACAGAAGTCAGCCCACACCCTTATGACGATCAGCAGCAGCAGGTCTCTGCTACCGCTGAAAAGAATATTCAAATTTCTCAACATGTAAGTAGCACTATTTCTCATTTGTATTTTCTCCCATATGGATGAAAATAAATAACATAATTCTTCATCATTAAAAAAAAAATAAAAAAAAGGATGATCATCTAAACGAATTATTCGACAAACACAAAAAAGTCAGAGAAGGAAAAGTCACATCAAAAGATTTATTTCATATGATCGATGAATTTGAGCAAGAGCAAAAATGTACTTTATTGACGGAAGGTCGAGACTTATTTAAAGCGTGGTGTGAAAGTAACCCTGAGCTTGAAGTGGATGTCGATGATGTTCGGTCACTGATATCTAATCTAAAAAATATCAAAGCAAACAATAATGTCGAGAACAGTAATAATAGTAATAGTAATAGCAATAACAGTTTTCCGAAACGGCCAAATAATATACAGAAGTCAAAATTTGGAAGTTTGAGAAGTAATTACAATATTAATTTTTATAAGAAAAGATCACACCCACAAGAGGGTGGTGGCGGATTTCTAGATTCTTCGAAAGGACCATCACCATTAGATCATGATATTAATCGTGACGAGGTACTTTTTGTTGGTTAAAATTTTTTTTTTAGATAATTTAAAGGAAAGGGCGGATTGAAAATAATTTATTTGTATAGAATGCAGAAACGATGTTTTCGTCTACGGGAATGACTCCTTTTCAGCCAAAATCAACTCAAAATTACATATTTGAAAAACCACCTAGTTACATGGAACATGACAACTCCGTAGAACCCGAGAAAATCGAAATAGAAGGGACCGGTGAAATTGATTTGGTTAAACTCAATAATAATGTATTGTATTCTTTTTGTTTTTTATTCGTCCCGTCAAAAATTTGCTATCTCATTCTTCTGATCTATTCTTATTTGCAATATAAATTTCAAAAATGTCAAGCAGTCGGTTCATGATCCAACAATGGAACTAGGCCGTCTATACCGTCATACGGTAGAACTTGCGAAAAAGCTCAAAGAATCAGAGAAAAATCTCGCGACTGTTGCAAGACAACATGAAGATCGAATCGAAGAGCTGCAGCAGAAATTGGAGCAAACTAAACAAGATTTGATACAGAAAAAACGGGAAATTCAAGATCACAAGAGCAAAGAGAAGGCGAATTTGCATCAGATTTCGGCGGTTTGTTTTTTTAATCTTTTTTTTCTATCTAAATTTAAATAAAATTTTTATTCATAATATTTATTAATTCCCATTGAAACAAATAGCTCGAAAATGAGGTGCAAAAAGTCGGTAGAAATTTAACGAGTCAGAAACAACTGTACAATAATTTAAAAAGACAATATGAAGAACAGTGCAGTAAGTAATACTTACTCTGTAGGTTGTGTGAATCAATGACTTGTATATCCAAACCATTTTGAATCTATAAATTACCTGGATTTAGTTTAATTTATTTGTTCTAAACTAATATAAGTATTATTATTTTTATAGCGGAGGCTGAAAGATTACGAGAGGAAGCTGAACGACTGAGAGATGCTTTACGAAAAAGAGAGGATGCTGTACGAAAAAGGGATGCGCAATTAAAAAACTCGGAAGCGAGTCTGACTAATTTCTCAAATGAACAATTGAAGGTATCGTATATCGCTAAAGATAAGAATTAAGAATTGATACGGAATTAATGTCTAATTGTTTTTTTTTAAAAAAAAAAAAAACGAAAAAAGTGGCAAGAAGAACGCCAAAGATTTGAAGAAGCGCTAAAAAAATTAAATCAGGATGTCGCGAAATCAAATCAAGTTGCCGCAGATCTAGAGCAACAAAAAGAAGAGAATCGGAATTTGAAAGAAGCTCTTGAAGAACAGAATCGGAATTTGAAAGAAGCTCTTGATAAGTTAAAAAGATCATATGATAAAATATATCCTTTTTTTTAATTCTTTTAAGCTAGTATAGCTCGATAATAAATATATTGAGAATTACTTGAAATCAAATAATTTCCTTGACAATATAATTACTGATCAAGTCGAAGATTCGAAGAATAATTTAGAGGTTAGTATTTAAAAACTATCATATTAACAATAATAGTAATATACTTAAGTTTGCTTGATATCGTTGCATTTTTTTAGCTTGAACTAACGCGAAGCGTACAGAAAGAGGAGAAAACAGCAGGCTCTGACTCGAATAATGAAGAACCTGAAATTCGTGGTGAACGAGGTGAACATCGGAGCAGCAAGGTATTTATTTATTCGTATAGTGGTGAATCACAAACATAGAGAGTTTATTAAATTAAATCAAACCCTCACTCATTGAAAATAAGTCGCATCGACGTCGAACAACTGAACAATCGTCAAATGGTGGCAGTGATATTTTGACAAATGAAGTCGCCTCCGGTGAGGGAACTCTCACACGAACAAACTTATCATCGACACCATCATCAACAACAACTTATGACCCAGAAAAAAATAGATCCTTGTCGATAATGGATCAACAATCACCGCATCAAGAACACACAATACGAAAATCGCAGCGATCTTCGTCTCACCGTCAATCAATGGATGATCCAATCGTCAACCACTTCCGGGATCTTTCTTCGGAACTTGGGCAGCAATATTCGATTATTGAAGATTTCGGGAACCTAATGCGAAACCAGCAGCAGCAACTGACACAGTCTCCGAATACTGATTTAATGAGGAATTCGTCAAGGACAACAAGAAAACAGCCACGTAACAATCGTAAACGAGGTGATATGTCCATATCTTTTTTTTTTGCTTGCTTGTCCTCGAGATTTTTTTTTGATTCGCAAATGTTTAACATTTGTTTATCTTATAAAAAGTAGTGACACCAATCTCAGAAGCAGAGGTTTGTATTATTAAGGGGAATGTATTTGAAAGTTATTTGATTAGTTAGAAAGGGAGAGGGGGAGACCGATAAGAATACCAGAAAATGCTAATTGATAGAACATTCATAGTTATCAATTTACATTTTCTGATATCAGACAATTGACTCATTACGGAAATTTTCCAAATGACGTCATCACCATGTAATACAATGCGTATAATTAAAAAAAATACATGGTGAGAAATGAAAGGAAAATTAATTTTGAACAATACATTTTACTGATATTAGTCAAATATTTACCGTTTTCATCACCAGGCTGCAATAAACTCCGACACACCAACCACCACAACCCCAACAATCTACACATCAAAAACATTAGTCCCACGTAACACGGCAAACATGGCCGTCTCATCACAAGTGAACAGCACCGTCACATTCGCACTATACACACTAGTGGTCTACCTGTTCGGGATAATCACGTCTGTGTTTGTGCTTGATGGTAATCAAGGTACCAATGCGGGATATTCAGATTGGATAGGATTTGATTCGGCGCGTGAGGACAGTGTAATGGCGCGTTCAATTCAAATTATTCTGTATTGGTTTGAGACTCTGTTGAATGATGGGAACAATATGGTGCCTACATAGTTTTAATGATGGTGTTTCTTAATAGGTAGTGGTAGGAGCGTTTAAATAGTAGTTGTTTTGATATCAATCTGGACTTTAGAATTCCTTTTCTTTTTTCTCTCTTTCTTCCTTGTATCTCACTACATACATAAATATAAATATTGTTAAGGCTCGAAGTTTTCTTCCCCTACTCTTTTTTCATTATCACTACACATCCATACACCTCTTGTTTATTTTCCGGTTTTTTATATATTGTAATATTTTTCATCATTTCATTCAAAAGATATCATCATCTTTCATCATCATCATCATCATCATCATTATCTTTAAAGAGGGTCTCTTCTCTTTAATTCTTTGTAACATAAATTTTTGAGCTTACGCTTCTTTTTACATTTATATAACACTTTCGATCCTTTATTTTCTGCATTTCTCTCTTCATATTTATCAAATATTAAACTAAACAAAACATTATTTTCTTGTCATTCATTTATCTCCCCATCTTTTCCCTTCATTCACTACGTTCATCCCTTATCGTTATCATTATAATGTCTAGAATCATTTTCTTTATCAAACAGCAAAATTACATTCATATTCTATGAAAAACTTATATAATTTCACAAAAACACGATTTTCATAAAAAGCCAAGCATGCTTTTTCAATAAAAAAGAATCAAATGAATGATAATGGAATGTGAGGGGACATTATCTATCTTTTCATTATTTAGAAATAGTTATTTATTATTGCTATTATTATAACAATCAACCACAAAAATTCTTATATCCTTTTTATTTATTCACATATCAGATCAAAATAAAAAGCACCGAAAAAATTTCAAATGGACTTTTTCTTTCACAAATGGTGTATAGATGTTTATGAATATTTGGGGAGATAATTCCCCCCCCCCCCGGGGGGGGGGTTGGCAATAATTCTAAGCATCGATTATTCATCCCATCTGGTCGCTTTTAATTCAACAATTTTTGACACGCGTCTTACACCGCCTCCTGTATGCAGTGATTTTTTGAGTTGGACACGCGCGAAACACTGATCCTTCATTTTTATGCGTTTGAGTGGGAGTAATTTTTGGTTCAAGGGTAGAAGGGTTCATTAATCGAAGATATAATTGTATTCTCGTTATTCACAGGTATCGATAGGGGTCTAACATCTGCAATTGCCAAGTAACCATCATCATGACAAAGGAGTTGGATGTTTTCTACCAAAAACACAATAAATGCACGATATAGATCACCAAATATAATTTGCTTTATTATTAAAGAGTAGGTCATGTGAATATATAAAATAATCACAATAAACACCTAAATTCATTTATTAAATATATATTTCCTATCCAAATTACAAGAGATAACGATGTTTTTTGTAATGTTCTTTGCTGGTCAATGATCAATGTAAAAGAAAAAATTAAGATATTTGTTTTTGTTCGCGATTAACTGAGGTTTATACATCGATTAATTCCAAGTTATGTTTCCAACATTTTATCGAACATAATCTCACCAATAAAGGAACACAAGTATTATCCAATAAGAAATCTTTCCAAATCACAATCTCAATCGACGGCTCCAGAAAAGTCTTGTAACATCCCGCGCATTTGTTCACTTTTCTCGCGTGCAATACTCTGTTCAAAAGGTGGACAGGAAGCTCGGGTTTATTGGGGTTTTCTGGGATCAAGTTGAGAGATGCACATTGACGTGCCACAAGATCCAGTAATGAAGCCGGTTGTACAGATTGGTGAATTACTAATTGTTGTCGATGATGGCGATGATGTGTTTCTAACAGGAATGGTTTTGAAGATAATGATACGATTGAAGTGCTTGGAACGAGAAATGGGTTCGGATCGATGTTGAGGATATCGAGATTCGGTAGTCGGAGAATTTCTGATGGAAGGTAGCTCTAAATCAAAAAGGTATAATGTTTGATCGATTACTGCCCTTTGGCTAACTGATTCTTAGTCATATTCTTACCAACTGATTGTTACCCACTGATAACTCGACTAAATTACTTAGCAAACTTATCTCTGGTGGTAATTCGCGTAATTTATTGTTTCCTTAATTATTTTATCCAATCATATAATCAATCAATAATTCTGTCAAGTGACCGAATGAAGCTACGAGAAAATAATACACTCACGCAAGCTCAACACCTTCAAATTATTCATATCCCATAACCATCCCGGCAGAGAACACAAATTATTCGAGGCCAAGAACAATTTCAACGATTTGTTCGAAACACCAGTCTGCGAGTCCAACACCACATGATATCTTAGTTCCGCTAGTTCTATTGGTAGCTCGCGCAGTTGCAGATGTGAGAGATCAACGAGATGATAACCATTTTCGATCGTGGATTGAATTATTTTGCGGGCCCTTGATGTGTTATTGTTGGCGGTGGCATCGGTGTGTTGGTTTGCCTCATCATTGACGGGGTTTTTTGACGATTTTAAAAGTGAAGAAGTGGGAAAAGGAGACGAGAATTGTGATGATTGATTTTCATGAGATAGTGATGAAAGTAAAGTGAAGTTCGTGGTGGGAAGAAAGCTTAAATTGTGTATGGACGCCAATTTTACGGTGTTTACGGTGTATTAATTGAAAAAGTCGTGTTTGAATGCTTTGCCTGTTGTCGTGTCCCATCTTTTATTAAATCAATCGATCAATTAAGAAATGATATGCAGATCTAAATAGGAAACGTGGTATGTTCGTTTAACTTCTCATTGCTGTGATGACGATAACGCGCGTTGGTTAAGTTATTTTTTGAATCAAATGACGAACGGTTTATTTTTTCGAAATATATACGATATTAAAATATACATGATTAATGGCATAATTATTATGGTTTTTTTTAAGTATCAAATCTAAATTATGTAAAAATTACTAATGTCCATCCATGCAAACAAAAAGAAAATTTTGCTATATTTCTTACAATCAAATCCATGTAACTCATTTATGAAAAACCGACAAAGTTTCCATAGAAGATTGATTTCTGTTGCGTGACCACGTAATGGCATGGAGAAGAACGCTGCGTTTGCAAAAATCGATTTCCCATGATTGGTGTATGTGGTCGTGGGATCATTGTAGGTGGTGGAGGTAATGCATAAGCGTTTGTTGTATGAGCGGTTGTGTGTATTAGTAGACATGGATCGACCACCGGGGATATTGACGTTAACGAATCGATAGATGGTAATGTTGTTGAAGTGTTATTGCTCGCTGGTATCACGATATTATTCTCATCATCGTTTTCCGTTTCTCCAGTCATTGCAGTGTCAAGTGTGATATTATCATTAAAGAAGAAATTATCCGTGGGAGATGGCGTTTGTGGAGACTCTTCATCGGAAGTGGTTGTTGCAGAGGATGAGGGTAGAGACGAAGTTTTCAAGAAAAGTAATTGTGAGGCCGCGCGAGTAGTTGTAGGCGATTCTTTTGGTGTTGATTTATCAATATTTTCGTCGTTATTGTCTGTTCGTATTGGTGTGCTGGGGTTAGATGTTTGAGGAACGGCGGATGTTGCTTTGAGCGCGTTCTTTCTTGCGCGCGCTTTTTGCGCCCATCTTTGGTAGAAAGAGAAAAGAATTAGATGAGTAACGCGTGTAAAAATGTAAAGGACGCGTTTTTTATAAAAACATAAATCTACTAACTTTCTTTTCGACTGCAACATGCGTTGACGCCTCTCTTCGTCAGTTTTTGGTCGATTAGGATCATTATCCCATCGTGTACCTCTTGGTGCCTCAATCCCATGTTTTTCCTTCAAATGACGTCGGAGAATAGAACGCGCGTTTTTGCCTTGATATTTTCGATTGCAATTAGCGCACGCGAATACTTTGGCTCCATTATTAGAGGTGACATTGTTAATACGTTGATGATGGAACATGTATTCATTCCTTTTTGGCGCAACTTCAGGTGGCTCGAAAGTCGAAGTGCAATAACCCATAACATTACTATTGTCAATATTATCAATATTATTGTTGTTGTTACTGTTGCTATCCATTTTTACAAAGAAGAGTGGGTGTTTGAGTTTACGAAAACTATTTACTCAATTATAATTACTTTCTAAAGGTAAAAGGTGGAAAAAAAAAAAGCTTAAGAAAGACAACAAAAACTCACGCGCAAAATGAATCATTTTATACTGGACAGAATGTATCTACACAATGCACCCCGTTTTCAATGTTTTCTCTAAGATTTACGCGTTTCTACGCGTCGCGTTCTTTTAAAGTGGCACTGTGACACCATCCTGTTCATCTGGCGAATAGCACTAGTGATTCTACAACGTGAAGTTGATTCACCAATTTCCTAATTTAACTTCTCTGTTAAGATTGTATGCAGACTTGTGGTGGCTAGAACAACTACGCCTGGCAAATGAGACCACACATCATCACTTGACTGAAAACATTCAGTTTTATTGGTTGCAGCTGGCTTTTTTCGTCGTATTGTTGTTTACGAAAAAAAAAAAACTTTACAGAACAAGCTCCTCGTCGCGTAAAAATCGCGCGTTTTTTACTTTCGACGCGTTTATTCTCACGTCAAATTCAATTAGAATATTTATATACAGTTACTAATAAATGGTTCCAAGCGTAGTTGTGATTCTGATGAGGTTTTATAGAGTGAGGGGATGACTGTATATGCGCAAACATTGAGACTTGCAAGGTAAAAAGAATCGGTTGGCCTCTCTTTATATGGTATTTGCGAGAAATCATGTAACGCATATTCTAATTTATCAACTGCAGATTGCTGTTGCGTATTTGAGGAGTTGGATTCTATTTTGATCTAATTCGAAACAAGAAAAGTCAAGAGGACCATATGATACTGTTATTACGTGATTTCGAGTGCGCTAATGAACAGTATCGTACTGCTAACGCGGCAACAGATTTATTTTATGGACTTAATCTTGTTTATATCAAGGGGAAATTTAAACAATCTTTACTATAGACTTTACTATGTATCTTTATTATATATCAGGGAAATTTATTAAAATTGGTTTTGTACGATAGAAATCCTTTATTATAACGAGACTGACTTGTATAATACTTTATATTATATCTATAATGAACTCATTGGTTATATTTTAAATATGAAATAATTTATTTAAAATTAGTAAAGATACATATATAATTCGTCAATTTCATTTATATGGTATTTATCTTATTATGCAAGATTCTCTCTTCATATGATCACTGCAAAATACCAATCAAATTGTTCAGTTTTTAAATGTAACGGTGCAGGTCACGTGATTAGTTACACAAAATTTTTATCGAGAACTATCAAAGTGATTTACTGTATGTACTATGGAACAAAACTCCAAATTAAAGTTTGCTCAGTTCAAGTTTTGATTTCGAACTCAAAGTTCAAACCAGGTTTCGAAAAATTAAATAAATGTCGTTGCTTCAGTGAGAAAAAAAATTCGCATCGCAAATGACAATAAAATTCTTTATTAAAATTAAAAGCACGTGAAATTCGCTCCCGAGTAAAGTTAAATTAATCATCTATTTCAAAAGAAATTTTTTGCCAGTGCTGTTAGCACCACTTGTTCATCTTTCCATGCTTCCCATATTTATGTAATAAATAGAAATTTTTTGTGGATATTGCAATGTCTAGAACGTGACAATTTATGCTATAATCCCATAAGGGCCAATCTGTTTTCCACGTATTTTTAGCATTTTGTGTCGGCGAGTTGATTAATTATTTCTTGAAAATTATTTTTCCTAAAGATGAAATATTTTGTTTTTAAAAATGCGATCAATCGTTTTATCTTTATGAAAACGAAAAAAAAATTGTGTTCCCGTAGGAACTATCCACTCAAGATTGAACGTGTCATCCTTGTGCAGGGGCCATGCTAATCTTCTCTGTATCGTTCCAATTTTAATAAGTGTCACTCCGAAGAGGACATCTCTATTATCTGAATTTTGTTATTTATATAAAATTTTTATAATATGCAGATCTTCAGATATAAGATTATGGGATATTTGGAAAATATTATCGTTATACAGCATAAATAATCATCTATATAATTTTTCAGTGGTTAAATTTTCATTGATTATATAATATAATAATCAAGTGATTTATTAAACAAAAGTAATTAGTTTAAATGTACATTTATATTATTCATATAATTCCTTCATTAATACTTCGATGTGACTTATATTTTTAACTGCATTACCTGTTAATCCATGTTGATATGAATCTATCCATCTAAATGATAATCTTGCAAAAAGCATGAATCGTTTCTAATGAAATAGAATCAAATGCTTTTGGAAGCATTGTCATTAATTTTGGCAATGAATACTCGCAATTTGTACGTGTATATCTCGCGTTTGCTTTTCGAAGCTTTTTTTAGATGCAGCAAGTAAAAGGTTGAAGATTGAGCGCGCACGTTCGTCATTATTCAGCTCTACATCGTCGACTTTGAGCACTTCGTTATCAGAGTTAAATTGATTCGCTGAGTCTGAATTATCGCTTTCATACTCCTCGCTTGAATCCAGATCAATGAGGTTAGCGACCGAGAGTGCCACTTGCCGAGTAGTGCGTGCGTGTATAGCATTTATGCGAAGTTTCTGCCTCCTTTTTGCTTTTACATGGTGGCCAATATCGCTGGACTACTAATATAAATTAGGTAACTTCCAAGGGTTATAACTCGGGAAAAAAAAGGAAATTCGAAAAAAAAATTGTAGCCCGGTCAAAAAGCTACATTTTGGCTAAAAAAATTTTTTGTCCCCCGTAGAATTTAGAATATATATGTCAGCAGCCAATAAGAACGCAAAATTTTTTTGCAAACAACAATCACATGATAACCAAAAAACCAAATTTTTTTGATCATAATTGCAAAATTCGTTATATTTACTCTCGATGTTACCATTCAAAGGTTTCTCCTACAGGTCCTTATGTGCGTCTAGTGCGCATTTCGAACTAAAGCAACAAGTTTTTTCTACACAGATATTTGGGAATCGCTTGAGGGTGCAAAATTTTGTTTGCTTTTCGCATATACAAAAAACATTAACCTCAAATAATAATAATAATAATAATTTCAAGTATCCAATCACAAAAATACTTGACAAACAAAGGAGGAGTGCTTCAGAGACGATCGATCGATTATCATCATCACGATCACATCGTTACTTTACCACGCCTTCTGATTCCTCGTCCGAAAATAATTCTAAAAGTCTATTGGACATTACATTTGACAAGGATAAACCTATCCTTACCGAACTACATTATGGCCGAACACGTGTTTACACTGCACTTCCTCCTGCCTCTACGCATTCACCGACAAGCTCAAAGGCCTCGCCTGCTGCATCCTCGTCGCCTCTGTACTGGCAATGGCAACCGCAGACGACAAAGGCCGGCATACCGGAAGTACGTGGACCAGTATCAAGCTTTGTGGGAAGCATTAAACAAAATTTGAGTGCCATGTTTCTACCGGTTGGGTAACTAAGTTCGGCATGTTCTCATTCAACCGTGTCTATCACTCTCCGTCTTTCACGTGTTGAAATACGAATATCGCCATCTGACTGCGCGAAAATTCATCATCACTAGTTATCCAGAGACTGTCCATGAGTGCTACGCAAAATTTCACATTTGGCTCGCATTGGAAACTTTTATCGGATCATCGGTGAGCTATTTTTGTACTTTAATTGAGGTCGAGTTTCATTTTTCAAGGTGGATAGATATATGATATATATATATATTTTGTATGTATTCTGTCTAGACAGGAGTCTTGTGTAGTCAGGCAATGCTGTCATCTCTTGGATTGGGTCAAGCTGAATCAGCAGCTGGTGCAGTCGCTATTCAATGGTAAAAATAACATAATTAATCAATTTCTATCTATTACTTAAGTAAAGACCGAGAAAAATCATGCCAACGAAAAATAGGGTTCTTAAAGACGGATTCGGTGAAATAGGAAAACTATTTTTTATCAAAGGATTTGCTTACTCATTTGACTCACATCCCAAAACATGGAAAATGGCATGTAAAAAATTTATTTTTTTCTGTTTATTCTCGTTATCTATATATTAATGTATCATGGATCTTATACAGGTGAGTGAAATATTTGCCATAACCGGGTATTTTCTTCAGTTGTGTACGTGTATCGCAAAGCCTGGATATTTCTTGCCGTTAGCTTCGCTAGGAAATGCATTTGAAAGTATTCAATATAGTATTTTTGGCGCTACGCATATGGCATTTATTAGGAATTTTGCAGTAAGTTGAAGTTGTTCTTGTTCCGGGGTTATTTTGAGGGCATATAAATCCAAATTCTTGCCTTTTAATAACTCTAAAAGGATCCCTTTTTTTGACAGCTGTCTGGCAATGTTGGCGATATTGTAGCAAAGGATGATGCACAAATGTCCTTGGCACATTTATTGGGGTTTGTGTTTTTTGGCGTGTGTTAATGGGTTATTTATCATCAATAATATTAATGCCTTGCTTTGAGAAAACGGTAGGATGTTATGCGGTGTTGGCCTGATAACCATCTCACATGGTCCAGCTTTTTTGTTTTCGTGTTTTGCTATATTGGCTCCTCTGAATATGGGTGCAACTTTAGCACTTTTAAATGCGGCACAATTCGAAATACTGAATCAAGCAAAACTATCATTAATCGCTCGCCAATATATTGATGGTGGTGAAGTGCCAACAATGGAAGAACTTAAAGACAGAGAGATTGGGTTTGGGGAATGGATAAGACCGAAAAAGAGCCCTATTGGTGTGAAGATAAGAATGGGTGTTCCTGCTTCTGACGCCTTTCATACAAGTGAACACGTTCAAAGGGCATTGGCCGTTTTATCGGTAACAATTTACCTGTTAAGAAATTTTCATTAGTTTCTATTGATTAACTCGATCGATATTTAAATATAAATCCTGTCTCATTCTAGAATGAAAATTACCTATTAAGTTACAATCCGTATAAGAACACAATTGATACGCTCTACCATTCAGACGCCGAATCTAATGATGTTATCAAATCCATACTTCATTCACTGAAATTTCACGATCTAATCGTTGCAAATCGGCTTCCTGACTCACGGAACGTCAGCGATGAAATAATAACTAAAGCGATGCAAGAAAGTCACACATGGACGAATCAAAAATTTGGAAATTTCGTGGCTGAATTAGACGATAAGGATTGGCAGAGTGATGTGGTATTTTGGAAGGACAAGTAAGTTTGAATTATTATAAATTATATTTTGTCAAAATTCTTAAATTCTTATTGTTAATTTTTTTAATAGGGGATTCAGAGTAAGATGGGAACGTATAAAAGATACAGAGAAGTTATAGAAAAATAAAAACATCTTTTGTAGTAGAGATAAAAATTCATTTGTAAAAAAATTTATTTGGTAAAATAATCAAGACTAGCTATTAATATATACACACAGCACACACTAATTTTGCAATCATTCGCTCGCTCCGAGTTATTTAATTATAATATATATATTAACCTTGATTTTATGCACACAAAAAAATTATAAATACAAAAATGTGAATAAATAAAAACGAGTAGCATTAATATTTCTATCTTATTCTAGTTTTGTTGAGCGTGATAATTTTTTAGAATCATTATACAGAAAAACTTTAGTATTATCTGAAATAATGTACTGAGATTTAAAAACATTAAACGTATTTAAAAAAGTCCGCAATATCGGCTCATTAGATTCTTGCACGTATTTCGGGTAATGTGCACGAAATGCCACGGTTGCCTCCTTCAAATAATAATGAGGGATCGCGGGGAATAAATGATGTATTTGATGGGTCCCGATCGAATGAGTGACGTCATGCAAAAAACCATAATCACGGTCAACCGAGGAAAGATTTCCGAGAACATATGACCATTTGTCATCCGAGAACCAGGGTAAATTGAGATTTTCTTCCACGCCATGATGATGAAGAAAGGTGGTGATTACTAGCCAACTTGAGAAAATAATCCATGGGAGGAAATAATATCGTAGAATATTCCAAGCACCGTATATTGTGGACGCATAATATAAAAAACACAATCCAATGATTACACAAATAATCGAGGTGAAAGCTCCAGCACGATTATTTTTGAAAAGTGGATGAAAAGGATTCACATGAGATGTCGCCCTTGTTCCATAGCCTTCAATCAAATAAATCAACCAACCGATCCCAAAAGCGAAATAAGGGGCCAAGTTTGTCCCTTTACTCTCATTCCCTGTCATTTTAAGTGCTTCCGATTCACGCAACGGATAAAAAACCTCATCTTTATCAATATTTCCCGTGTTCTTGTGGTGATGTCGATGACTCAATTTCCATGTGGTATATGGAACGAGGATTAAGCTATGAAGGAATGTACCAACTGTATCATTAACCCATGGATATCTGCTAAAACTTCCATGCCCACAATCGTGACCCAAAACAAAAATAGCCCAAAACATTGTACCCTGAAAAAAGGCATAAACAAAAAGAACCAAGTTTTTAAGTGGTGATGGAATAAATGCTAAACTATCTAACCAGTGATAAGCTGCGAAAATTAACGTTATCACACAAAGATCCCATGCTACATATTTGAATGATTGTAAGAGCGAAGGGGCAAAGAATTTCTTTGGGATATTTTTTTTGATTTCAAGAATCGAAGGAACAGTTTCCTTTGTTGGAATTGCATTTAATTTATGTTGATCATGTTCTAAAAAATCTTCCACATTTGATTTCGAATCCAGAATAATGGATTGGGTTGCGAAAGGGTCAAGTGGTGGCATAATTTATTTCACTTTTAAAAATAATTTGCCTTTCTCTTTATTTGTCGGATCTAATGAAGAAGCGTTTTTATTTTGAAAACACGAAAAAAAATGTACTTAAAACCTAATTTTGCAATAAAAAAAAAGATAAAACAAACAGAAAAAAAATTCCAAGCCGCGCATAAATAGATTTTTATTCAATGCCACTATCCTTAAACAATACAAAGACTATATCTAAACTTATATTATCGAGAAAAAAAATTCGACAATACTAACAAAAAAAATATATTTGAACACAATGGTGCATAATTTAACATATGCTGCATGTGCTAATTGTCAAAAGGGTTGGTTGCTTTATATTATATGGGACTGTAATGGTAATTGGTTATCGTTATTTGATTTTAATTATTTGCATATAAAAACAATACCCGATACTCGAAATTTTTGATAATATTATCTCGGATAGATGTTCGGGTCAAGTCGGGGGTTTGAAACCATTTTGGAATAAGATCACGTGAAAAGTCAAATTTACATATATTACCCTTATAAGAAAATCAACTAAGCTTTATTTTATCCGTCCGAGCGACTGCGTCAAATCAAGATCGTCATATTGCATCTTATCTACTGAAAATATGTGGTTTTCAATTGATATAAAGTTTGTCCGTTTTCATCTTTTAGTTGCTTAGTATATTTTGGCAAAAGATCTTCAAGCTTCTGAAAAGAGTCATCGACAATATCGTCAAGGAATGGCCTGATATCGTCTAAGGTCCATCGAGATCGAAACGTAAAGAGTTCCCGAAAACGTTTTTCAGGATCAGTTGATAAGTCAGAAGCGGCAAATAGCTCTATATATTCGCATTCCTTTTGTTGATTGTATTCTTTGATTGCGTTTCCCTAAATTATTATTATAAAAATTCGTTATATTTGATTAATAGAAAAAAGACGTCGTGCCCGCTTACTACGTAATTTAAAGAGGGGGAATCTATCACGTATATCAGGGATCAGATCGCACGGATATCAGTGATGTCCCAGAAGGGGGTACAGGTTTAATAAAAATGAAAAATTACGTAATAAACAGCACTTCCCTTAATAAAAACAGACCTTTAGGAGGTCAAATGATAATATCGATTCCCACTGATCAGGTATCTTTATTACCCAATTAGCTATAAAGTCGGAATATATCCATGCCTAATATGAAGATGGATATGGAAAGTGTAATTTTTAGACGATTAATATCATGAAAATAAATATTCTCTATCTATTAATTTTGTTGTTATTACTTTTCCTTCTGTTCTCAACAAGTGCAATCCAATAAAGCTACATATTTTATCCTTTGATAATTTGACAATAGGATCTATTATTATAAAGTATGTTATACTGTTATAATTATTATTAGAGGATGATAAGAAAAGAAATATCGACATAATTTTTTACTTACCAAGACGATTACTATAATCAATTACGTCCGCAAAACAGGTCAGACAATGCTTAGTGATAAAGGAAGGAATACCATCATCAGCAAGTGCTTCGGCGCATCTTGAAAAAGACATGTTTTCCAGTGACATGTTCTCAATGTTTGCGGCTGAGAGAATAAGAACTAATACGTCGTAAAGGTATTGGGTTTCCACAAATCTCCAGTAGCCTTTTGTCACAAATTAATTTCTATTTGAATAATAATAAATTATTTGCGCGTATATCGATGTCTGCATACCATCAACCTCTAAAGCATAATGCTTTTCGAGTGCACATTTAATTTCTTCTTCGCTAGCTTGTAACAAATCATCAAGTTCTTCCCAAGAATAGAATTTTTCCTAAGCAAAATAAAGATCAATATAGTTATATACTATTTTTGTCACGATAAAATAATAAATCATATCGTTAAACTTACTCCCTTGTACCTCTTTTCTTCCTCGGGGCCTTTATATGGTGTTGTTCCAAGCAAATCTTTCAATTTTTCAAGGTTAGGTATACATAGTATTAACTCGTACACTGAATGTATAATGTCAGTTATTTCGAGTTCGCGCACTTCTTGTTCTATTTCCATATCCATATTCGTGTCTGTGCTAGTTTCTAGACTAATAGCAGGTTTCAATAGTAATAAAGAGTTGGAATGAAGTTGTTTTCGAACATGATACGTTTTATTTCTTGTGCAAAGATATGCGTGGTCTTTGGACGATCCCTTTATGTAAAGACTTTGTAAAGGTGTTTTCTTTAGAGTTTAATGACGCGTAAAATTCACGGACGCATGTGAAGTTTGAGAAACAGTATAGCTAGCTTACTAGGCGTTTTCATTCTGACTTGGATTTTCATAAAGCTCATAAATTTCTGGAGGTAACTCTAGAAATTTATGCGAGTTTGGCGAGTAATTAGGGCTAGCGACGATTCTTGCGTTCATTATAATTTCCTATATGCGTCGCGTTGAGGAAGCTCAATTTGCTATCACGTGGAATTTAGATCTTTTATATCTAAAGGAATTTGTATTACATACTACATTATCGTTTTCAAAATGACTTCTGAAGGCGAGACTCCTACTAAAAAAGAGGTTCTCTTTCCGCAAATTGGCGAAGTTGTGGATGCAACTGACGATGAAGGCAAACCAACTGAGATTGAGAGCTATTGTGTTAACTGCGAGCAAAATGTACATTCTGATTTGTCTTGGATCTTTCTTGTACAAAATTCTAACTAAATTTAGTACCATGGTTTCTAGGGAGTTACGCGATTATTATTAACACGCATTCCACATTGGCGAGATATAATCGTTATGAGCTTTGAATGTGAAGTGAGATTCACTTATTTGTCTTTCAAAAACTTTATTTTACATTCTTAAACATTTTATATATATATATTTTTTTAGCATTGCGGTTTTCGCAACAATGAAGTCCAATTCGCTGGTGTAATTGCAGAAAAAGGATGTACTTACACCTGCGAAATCTCGTCACCCGAAGATCTTGATAGACAACTAGTCAGATCCGAAAGCGCATCTGTAAAAATCCACGAAATCGATCTTGAACTTCCCTCTTCAAACACTCAACGCGGATCACTGACAACCATCGAGGGCCTAATATCGGCTATCATTGATGATTTATCGAGTGAACAGCCGGCAAGGAAATACACCGATGAAGAAACTTATAAAAAAATTGAAGTGATATTGGAGAGACTGAAAGCGTTTCGTGAGAATCGAGAAAAGTGTACTATTTCTGTTAATGATTTTGCTGGGAACAGGTTCGTGTCTTCTGAGTTCTTTGTTTTTTTTTTTGGAGCGAAGGAAAGACGTTTTTGTTGATTTCTTTTTTTTTTGAATTGTATGCCATGGTGTAGCTATATTGAGAACCTTTGCGCTCCTAATCCTGATCCAAAATTAAATATTCGATATTACAATCGAACACGCGAAATGAACATTGCACTGGGATTAAATGTAGATTCTTGCGCTGATGATGAAGAAGACACGGCAAAAAAAGATCACCTTCAAAATAACGTAATAAAGGATCTCCAAGCTAATGAAAAGGAAGAAGAATTAAGAGGTGACGATAAAGTATCTGAAGTAATGATTTTTCCGACAAACTGTTCAAATTGCAATACTCCTAGTGATACGAGAATGCACATGATAAATATTCCACACTTCAAAGAAGTGGTAATAATGTCGACGGTTTGTGATGTAAGAAACAAATTTATTACTCGTATAGCAATAGTAAAATCCTATTATTATTTTATCTTAGATCTATTAATTCTCTACAACAAAAAAAAAGGCATGCGGTTACAAATCTAACGAAGTAAAAGCAGGTGGTCCAATATCCCCACAAGGAAAACGGATAAAGCTAAAAATAGTGGATATTGAAGACCTGTCGCGTGACATTCTAAAATCTGAGACATGTAATCTCATCATTCCAGATATCGACTTGGAGTTAACAACAGGCACACTGGGTGGTCGATTCACAACTATCGAAGGTTTGCTAAGGCAAATCTCTGATGAATTACAACAGCGTGTGCCTTTTGCGAGTGGAGATTCGGTTAAAGAGGAACGTCGTAAAACTTTTGCAAATTTTATTGAAAAGTTGAATAAGGTTATCTCAGGTGAAGTTTTACCGGTGCATTTGATTTTGGATGATCCTCTGGCGAATTCCTATTTGCAGAATTTATATGCTCCAGGTACATCATGCATATTTGATACACCATGCCTCGAGATTTATTATCATAACTGATTGTCAATTTCTGAATGATAACTGTTTTAGAACCTGACCCAAATATGCTGATTGAATATTATGATCGTACATGGGAACAAAATGAGGCTCTTGGATTAAATGACATGAACGTGGAAAATTATGAAGCAAATAACGATGAGGATTCAGTGGACAAAAATCCTAATTGATTCTCAATTTTGTACTAAAAATGTATAACATAAATAAATAATGATTGGACATTTCATTTATGTACCAATTAACTGGCTTCTAAAAATATAGCTATCTTTTGAAAATTCTCGGTATTTTACAATATGCCTTTTGGATTTAGGCGTTCGAACTCTAGCGGTTCTAACCGCTCAATTGATACTTCCTCTCCACCCGACTCTCCAACACGTATTATTGAACCCACACTACCAAATACCTCAAACACCACCAACAAAACAGGAAACCCTCAAAATAGCGCAGGCGACGTTCGTAATAACAACACAATAAGTAGTGGTAACGAAAATCATTCTGAAGCTGAAGAAATTATTATTTCTGACGAAGCAATTCTAACAGTTCCAACAAATGAAACTCAAAATGAAACAGAAACGACACCTAATTCCTCATACATACTAGAACCCCAAGTAGACCCCGACATTCCTCCAGACACAGACGAGTGGGGAAATACGCCTGGAAGTAAAAAAAGATTTCGGGCAAGAGACACTGAACCGATTTTGTATCAAGATAAATTTGTGGCTATATCGGCTACTTATTTATACATATTGAATTATTTTATGCCGGACGCAAAGGATAAAGCTATCCCAATGACTAGTATTCGTAATGTCCAGACAGATCGGGAAGCAAGAATTTCAGACATGGCATACCAAAAATGGTGAGTATATAGAGAATTGAGTGTATTAAGTAAGGGAATAATGGGAGGGACGGAGGAAAGTTAAAGGTATAGGTTGGTACGATCTCATCAGTATTCTGATGTGAGACAAAATACGAAAAGTCAGGTCTTCCTTTTATCCTCGAATATTCTGAACTAAAATTTCGCTCACCTTTCTCTTTCTTCGAATTTAGGGGCTCCGGCGGGTTCGATCTTTGGGTATAGTTTTTATCTACATTGACATGTATTATTTTTACTTGAGAATAATATTTTCTAATTAATTACTCTGAATATTTTTAGTGGGCTCGTGATCTTGGTAGATGGAAAAATCATGACTTGTGCGTAATAGTGACTGTAGAACGTGATTGGGTAAAAAGAAAAGGTTTCACTTTGGAACATGCTGAAGGACTTAAAATTCTAAAGAAAGCATGGCAAAAGGCAAAGGGAATCCCAGAGCAGAATGATTAATATGTTATTAGCTGAAAAAGATTTTATACAAACTTATGCATTAAGGAATTGCATGGACTTGGGATGATGTTGAGGAAGAAGGACGGAGAGGATGGAAAGATTAAAGCTAATGAAATGTGCAAAGATTGATTGGCATTGGAATGTTCTGAGCGAATTAATAATCAAGACGAGGTCTTAATGGTGATGAGAATTAGTTATTTTAGCCTAAAACCAATTAGAATATAGAATTTAGACAGTGTACATAACTATTAGTATTAATTAAATTATAGATTGATTAATTAATTTATATCTGATAATAATTATTCAAATAAATCAGAAGTAGTTATCTTTATTATTTATTCTTTATTATAAATAATTATGATAAAATTAAAATTAATAACTAAATAAATAATTATAAGAACAGTAATATTATTATTATTATTATTATTATTATT